AGGCTGTTCCAGAAGTGACCCCCTCTGACTGATAGATGAATTTAAGTGTTTTCTAGGAGGAATCTGACCTTTAAAAGCAATTCCATTTGTCCAGTAGAGTTATTTGAAGTGATACTGCTTCCTGGACTGAAAACTCTCTCCTCTTTTACAAATTGAGTTCAGTAACAAATAACTGACATTCTGTGTTTTAGCTATTTGAAACAACAGGTTCACACACATCACTCAATTAGCTGCTATCGATCAATCTTTATATATTTCAGAAAGGCAATTCTCAAAACACTATCTGTACATATTCCACAGTAAAAGGAGCAGTGAGAAAAAAGTTAAAGTGTTAAGCGAAGATAGGAAAAGCAAAACTGCTGCGGCTTTCATTATTCAAGCAAATCCATTACTCATCTGGTCTGTTTTGCACTGTATGAATAATTTCTCAGCCTTTAAAGCAGCCGTCCGTCCCTCCCTGGGAAAATATCATCTTCAGCCTTTTTAACGGGCTCTAACGCGATTCTGCGTGACGTGCCATCTCTTAGATAAAATATGTCGTTTGTTCATTGCTGAAAAAACTCACCTTGAATTGTAATCAAAAGTGGGATCATAGTGGGATATATTACTATATTACTATAGGTTAATATCAGTGTTGGGTAAGTTACTTTAACAATGTAATCCGTTACAGTTACAAGTTACCTTGTTTAAAATGTAATTGTAGTGTAACTTTTTTGATTACTTTTAAAAAGTAATGTAACTAATTACTTTTGATTACTTTTTGATTACTTTAAGGTTTTAATGAGTATTAACCCATGATTAATTTTAGCATGTTATTATTAGCTATTGGCCGCAGCTAGCAGTTCAAGGCTAACGTCTTGTTAATGATCATAAACAACGTAAATAAATACATAAATAAATCGAAGCGACGGCAGGTCAGTCGTATCCGGATACAACATTTTAGCATCTATACTTTTTTAAGTATCGATACTTTTCACAACCCTAGTCTGAAATGTAGGACATGTCCGGGAAAAAGAGGACGTCTGGTCACCTACAGTTGGGTGGGCTAGGCTAGGCTAGGCTAAGCTAGGCTAGGCTAGGCTAGGCTAGGTCATAGACATCGATAAACGTTTGTCATGCATCAACTATTAATAAATCAAATATTAGTAAATCAATACGCTTCGTCTATCAGTGAGTTGCATATTTTGCAAAGGTTTTTCTCTATATTTTGTAAAAAAATGTAACTAAATTTGTAATTCTTAATATTTTCGGAAGTAACTGTAACTCAATTACATATTTTCTCATTGTAACTGTAACGAATTACAGTTACTCTTTTTTTGTAATTAAATTACGTAACGTCGTTACATGTAATCCGTTACTCCCCAACACTGGTTAATATTTCCAAGAGATCAAACTCCAGATGTCAATTAAACGAATCTGTCATCTTTTTAAAAAATTTCCCGAAAAGTACAGTTTTTTAATAGATTTTTACACCTGGATTGCAAAAGAAAATTAAAAAATATTGTGGCCATAAAATAAATTGACACAACTGTTCATATCTTCTCATCCAATGAAATGTGGAGCTAAAATGTGGAGCTAAGCAGGATCTGGCCATATATAAAAGAGAGTTTCAGCTTGTTAAGCCAATAGCTCATTTTCCTGATCGAAATCTGTCTTTATTCCGCCTTTAATTACAGATTACACTCTTTCTCCACAGCACACTGTCAAATTGTGCACAAGGAGCGTCCTAAAAAAAGAGAGAACACAGCAGCTGTCATGTAGACTTGAGAATGGAGTTTAACTTAGAAATACGTTCATGGATGACTCGTGTAGCAACACGCAGGTATATGTTTATGTTTAAGTCTTTATCTTATCGTGTTTCTTATGTTTTGGTGCCACCAGCCCCTTTGATAATGGCTTCCTTAATCCTATGCTTGGATTTTTTTAGTCTGAAGACTTTCTTTGGCCCCTCAACAACATGTGAAGAAAAAAAACTGAAATTATTTTGATCAAATTAGCGTTCAATAAGTCAAAATATATTTTGGTGTAGTCTTCTACTGGCTGTTATCAGGTATATCTGAATGTGTACAACAGGGGTTTGAGCAAAGCTTT